CATCCAACTATTGTATTAGTTATTTTCAATGATTAAGATCATGAGTCAGTTGAAGCTAGACCACCATGGAAAACCTGGAAGCACTGGACGGCCGTTTCGTCTTATTGTGAGAGTCCGTGAGTGTATTTCTTTGTTATTGCATATGAGTGATAAGTATTTTCTGTAAAGATAGATTTTATCAATAGGTTGTACAAAGTGTTATTTATTTACTTATTCAGAATTGTACGTTGTCGGCTGAGTCATTTCTTTCTATCTATTCACGTTTTAACTGACTTCATAAATTTTGCCGAAATTCTAATGACCTCTGTTGAAACTAATTAGACAAATAAGCCAAAATGATACGTTATTGTTCACACAACATTATTATTATTATTATTATTATTATTATTATTATTATTATTATTATTATTATTATTATTGCTACCTATATTAACATTTATTATGTTGCTTTATTTTGGCTTTTGTAAAATATCATAATAATTATGGACTCATAACCTAGAGCCATGTCAAGTGTAAATGCGACGATCTCAGAAAAAGACTACACTCCTATCTGCTCTCAATACAGACGTTTAGGACGTTGGGCGGAACAGTCCATAATTATTATGTTATTTTACAAAAGCCAAAATAAAGCATAAATTAATAAATTTTACAATGCTATATGTTGAAAATGGTGAACGTTTGCGTCTACTTCAATATGGCGTTATTTGTAAATTAGAAAGGCCTTTTAATAAAGGTCAGAATGATTTGTTATAGTACTTTCAAGCCAAAATCAATATGATAGCAAGATAATAAATGTTAATATAGGTAATAGTAATAATAATAATAATAATGTTGTGTGAACAATAACGTATCATTTTGGCTTATTTGTCTAATTAGTTTCAACAGAGGTCATTAGAATTTCGGCAAAATTTATGAAGTCAGTTAAAACGTGAATAGATAGAAAGAAATGACTCAGCCGACAACGTACAATTCTGAATAAGTAAATAAATAACACTTTGTACAACCTATTGATAAAATCTATCTTTACAGAAAATACTTATCACTCATATGCAATAACAAAGAAATACACTCACGGACTCTCACAATAAGACGAAACGGCCGTCCAGTGCTTCCAGGTTTTCCATGGTGGTCTAGCTTCAACTGACTCATGATCTTAATCATTGAAAATAACTAATACAATAGTTGGATGGACTTACGACATAAGCTCCTATCCAGAACATTGGTGTTTTTATTTACAAAAAAATATTTTTATTAACATCTATGTTCGACAAAGAAATAAAAAACGAAATTGTTTTTAAAATAAATGTACAACTCGATACGATGAGTAAGCGTTAAGTTGTAATAACAGCTTGTGTGTTGAAACGTTTTATATCATGTATGTATAAATGTATATTTAACATCAACAAATTGCATAAAGTTAAAATGTAAACATAATGAAGATCCGTGGGGACAATAAGAAAAGTAATGAAAATAAAGGATTTTTGTGTTATAAGAGCAATCTCAGGACTTGATCTAGATAAATATGGTGGTTGCTACATACCTATCTGTACAATGTACTCTTCTTCCTGATCTTGTTGTAGTTTCTATTGCTGCTGAACTTTGATGTGAAGTGTTGTTTTTTCCAGGTATTTTGTATGGTGTTTGATCTGCTGCGGGTTTAGACGGTTTTACAGTTGTCTGTTTTTCAGTGTTTTCTAGAAACGCTGGTTTTACTCTGTCGATGCTAACAGTATCATGTTTACCTGCTCTTTCCACTGTGACGGTTTTACTGTCCTTTCGGATGATTTTAGAACGGTCGTCGTAAGGAGTCTGTAACGACTGTCGTAGTCTATTATTTCTGACGAATACATGTGAGCATTTGTCTAGTTCATTGGGTATGAATGACCTAACCTTTTGGGTTCGTGGTTCAACGGACCCAATGGATTCCATATGCTGTTTTAATTGTTGCACGTAGTTGGTTATATCTTCTGGAATATCTGTTGCATGGTCAAAACATTCACCAGGCAAACGTAACGTTGTTCCATAAACCAACTCAGCAGCACAACAACCGATGTCTTGTTTGATAGTTGGGCGAATGCCTAATAGTATCAAAGGAAGCTTGACATCCTATTTGTAATCTCCTCCTTCAGCGGTCAAAGAAACTTTTAACTGTTTGTGGAACCTTTCTATCATTCCATTAACAGTCGGATGATAAGCAGTGGTTCTATTTCTCTTTATATCGAAAGTATCTTTAAGTTGCTGGAATGATTTCCTTTCAAACGAAGCTATGCGGTTTGTCGTAATTATTTTAGAGACATCGAAGTTTGTAATTCAGTGTTTCAGTAGCTTCTTCACCATTGATGATGCGGACGTGTTTTTAACGGAACAGCTATGGCCCATCTCGTAAATCTATCTATACATGTTAGTATATGCGAGTAACCATTAGAAATTGCGCGTCGATTTGCACATCGATATTGACCGATTGAATATCACGTCCCTCAACCTGAAATTTTTGCACAATTCAGCATAAGTATTTCGAAACATGATTGGACACCGTTGATAGAACATGCTTCTCAGTTTCACTTCACGTATTTTAACGCAAAAGTCAATGTATTCAATTCTTCCCTACATTTCACAGTGTGTTCTTTAATTATCTCTACTGTTATGAAACTTCCTGTGGTCGACATGTAACATACGTGAGGTGAAATAGGTAAACATACGCATAAGCATCATAAGTGAAATAGCTCATTGAGTTGATCATCCGAAAACCTAGGTTGAAGTGTTTCCCATTAGAAAGTATAAATGGACTGTTATGGTTATCATGTGGACATCTCGACGTTCGATATCCAACAATGAAAAACCTCCTATCTAGAAGAAAGGATTTAAACCTCATTAGAGTGATTGTCAGTAGAAATTTCGACAGCTTTCCTGAAAACATAGTACAGTGTATAGTCTTGATTATCTATGACAGAATCTCGTCCAACATTTCATACAACGATTAGAAATGTTGTGAAATAGTTATGAGGCTGTAAGTGTTTTATAATGGAGAAAACAAGGCTAATCGTCTTGGAGGGGCACCATTAGTTGAGTGTTCAAAAAATCAGTTTCTCAATCATTCAGTAATGAATGTCCACACAGTGTTTTATCCAGAGTGATGCGTTGGCACGTTCTAATATTAGTCTATCACTGAGTCGCAGAATATTTATCAGGTCTAGTTTTTAAAGCTTATCGATTCCCCAGTGCATTTGGTAGAAATCGAGGTCATTATCGGTTCACTGGACAACAATAAATTTTATCTCTTTTACTCAGTCGACTTTAAGTTACTGGTCTATGATTCTAACAAGAATTGATGAAGATTATTCAAATCCGTCTATGGATGTTTTCACATTTACAAAGTGCTGGGTCATAAGATGTTTGTCTTTAAAGTTTCTTGAGTGTTCGCTGTATATTAAAGAAGATCCGCATAGAACAGTACAAATATAATGCCGATTAAATTCATTTGAGAAAGAGTAGTTGATTCCTTTCTCTATGTACATACATCTCATCGGTATGATGATTTCGTTTAATTATTCGTTTAGTTCTACATTCAAACAACAAGTTACTAATTTAAAAATTTCACGATTACACTCCTGTGGTGTTTGAATGAAATAATGATTTCATTGTACTTGTTGAATGCTTGATTTCGTATTCTAAATACAGTGCATTCGTTTGTGGTTATCTAGTACTTCTTGATCCTATTATGTTATTTCTGTGATTCTTAGTTCGTACTATAATTCAAATAATCCCGATTACCACAACTCATTCTGTTAAATAAGTGCGCGATGAATTTCGTGTAATCGAACCGTTACTTGCCATTCAAAATTATACATCAATAGTTAGTCGGTCAAAAATACTACAATCGAAATCCAATAAGGACAGCATAGGATGACTGAGCTACTAACAATCATCGCTTCTTATCAATCATAATTGGATGCATAAATTCACTCTGCATCTATCTTGAAACACTTAGCATCTTTATCGTTCCGTCTTCACTGAGGTCGCTTCCATTCGTGCCTCTCCTGTCTCATTCAATGTTTTTATATTCGTGTTGACATTCTGTGTCACCATCTATACGATGTGGTCCCATCTTCACGGATAATAATTTCCTGTTAACATTTCTAACCTGTAAAAGTTATTGTCCTTAATTTCATAGATAACTGACGGATCCATTCAGACTTATTATCAATAGTAACAATAAATCTTATACACACCATTATCGTTAAATATATTGAGTGATACAAGCTGCAAGTGTTGCTTTATTTATGTTTTGAAGTGATTTCTTAATTAATTAAAATTCGAGTTCATCGACTGTAAGATAGTCAGTTAAAAGCAATCCATACTAAATAAATCTTTATACAAGTGTAAGAATAATCGCCAATGAATCTCAATATGCTGCTAAATCACGTAAGCTAATTAGATGAGTTACATATTCATCACCTTAAGAATTTTCAACCGTGTCAAGGTCACTTTAATTGTACATCCTTCCAATGCCATCGGTCGCTAGGTTTACATTTGCAATTGTATCACACACCATCAATTACCTAATCTCATTCAACCTTTCTGAACGGTATTCTTGTTGTTTAATATACCTTACCACCAATGATGACACTATTATTGATCCGACTCATTTGGTTTCAAACTGGTCCATTCCAGTTAATTGTATTGATGTCGTGTGGCTACTAGGTCACTCGTATATTTGTCTCAGAACAAACATCGGTTATTACTGACTGATCCGATTCTTCAAAGTTCCACAACTGACTATTAACACAATCATCATGCTAATTCAACCCATCAAGCAGTTTTGATACACTATACACTGGTTAAAAATGAGTAGTTCAAACTATGTCTATTTAATATATATTTTGTGAAAGCGTATATTCACCCTGACAATCTTTGCTGCTTGTGAAACACTCAATTATATTCTGAACAACAGCAAAACTAATACAAGTAGAAACATGATAAATAAAAAAACACTTTGGATAGCACAAGTATCACATATTTTATTAAGTATTCATTTGAAGAAATCGTCACAGCCAACTATGAGAAAAGTATGTTGAAACAATACATTAAAAAATCAAGCAAGTATAAAGAAATAGATTAAAGCAAAACTCATGAATGTAAACAGTAAATATCGATTGAGCTTCATTTTCCATCTACATCGTCTAAAACCTCTGAAGTACGTTTACGAGAAGAACCTTTAGACACTGAACCGATTAAACCATGAGCAGTAGTTAACAAATTCACTGGTGTCGTCCCATCTGTAATTAATGTACTTTGTAGGCCCAAAGCGTTCAACATGCTCAGATTATGGTCTGATTCGGCTGTTGCCATTGCACGTAGTGTATCTGCACCTAATGCATTCACCATTGAAATGAAACGCGACTTCTCGATTTCTGTTTCGTCTTCCTTATACTTTAGAGCTAATTCATTCTTTTCCTTGATATAGGCGATCTCTGCAGCTCGAGCCAATTTGAGTCTTTCTAATTCTGCATTCTGAAAATATTGTTTAAATTCATAAAACAGTACGATGAATGATTAAGATAACGGGATAGAGAAGATTAGATCTGACATCCATAAGTGGAAAACTTTCGAAGCACCAATGCGTCCTACAATCATTATTATCATACTGTAGGATTATTCACATGTAGAATACAGTGATATGTCTATTAATGGTAGAGGTCGCTTTAAACCGCTAACCATAAATCAACTTTGGTATTTTCAGTAATTTGAGTACATGAAATTCCAGAGATTACATTTGTAAAGAATATTGTTTGCAAAGTTTAAGAAATCTTCAAAAACAATGAGGATTTGATTATCTTATGAAATTTAACTGCCAGTTCAGCTTCCTTATGTTCTCAAACGTCGATAATAAGAACAAAACGTGACAGCAATTCTGTAAATATATTTTATGGCATTCCTTCTCTCTTCTCATTACATTCTACTACTATATTTCCTCATTTTATTATTAACGTGTTCATCTGGCTACATTCCCAGTCTCTATGTCTCACTGAATGTGTTGAAACACAATGACAAATTATGAATACTGAACAATAATTATTGTTTCAAAGTCTCTTCATCAGTTTATCACGTTGAGTTTCATTACAAGTGCATGTAGCAAATCCATGTATAATGTTTATGAGCTGAAACTCGAACGAAATCAGTCTTTCACTATACGTAATTTAACCTAACACCGAACAAGTTTTCATTACATCCACTTACTATCATGTCAGAAACTATAACAAGACTAACACAAGTATTCTCACAAATTTGAGTCGCAATTGTAGATAAACAAAACAAATTGAAAATGTAACTGCGAACGTCCTCACCGTTTCAATAGATAAGGCTTCTGCTCGAAGTTTAGCTTCTTCCACTGCAGCTTGACTGGAAATACGATTCGCCTCAGCTCGACTCTCTGCTTCGGCCTTCGCTTGACTACTACTTTCTAGTGCAGCCAATTGCACTCGGATTTCAAGCAAATTACGCCTGGCTTGTTCAGCAGCCGCTTCATCCTCAATTCTTTGACGCTCTAACCGACCTCTGGCTTCCTGTTCGAGTCTTTCAGCTTCGTGACTAAAATACAATACCACAGAATAAACTGCATTCCCGGTTCTCAGCATGACAATTAAATAACATACCCCTAGTATTCATACTCGAAATGAAATTTTCAAAACAGACAAAAGTAATGCCCCACTACGCATCAACTATACACTATAAACCGGGGAAAAGAAACAGTGAAAACACGTTATATCGTAATGAAGACTTAACCGACTAACACTACTGACTTCATGCACACCTTAACGAGTATTGTACACATGACTACACTGTTCAAAATATCTTCCAAAACGAATACTGCTTGCTTACCGTGCAGCTGCCTCTTGCGAATTGGTCGTTATCTCAATGGCAAGTTGGACTGACTTCTGTAACGAATCCCGAGTTCGTTGATCCACTGGTTCCACAGACTGTACATCCACGCTTGTAATATGAAGATTATTTTGAGGAAAAACTATCCGATCCCGAACCTTTCCTGATTCATCCAATCCGAATACGGAGGCACGAATAATTCGTGCTGAGTGCTAAATAAAAATATAGGGGAAACGAGTATAGTTCATGACAGTGTTTCCGCCTACATGAGGACTCATCATTCAGATCTAACCAAGTCCCGGCTAGTATTGAAGTTTCTCTTGAGGCTCGAAATCAGTATTCAACACATACAATACCAAAATCTAGTTCACAAAACTACCATACCTTTCTTCAAAAAATCTAACTGGCAGTAGAGGTATAAGGCTCCCCACCGAAACAAAACCCGTATAATTACACTAATTTCGTACTCAAACACTGGTGGTGTTTTAGCATTAACGCATGAATTCTGAGCAGCTTTTGAGGCTTACCACTAATTTCCTTAAACAAAACACTGACTGAACCATTTTCTATTCTCATAGAAAATCCTAATCTTTAAGATGTCCTCAGCTGACAACCATCAATGTAGCTCTGACCTATCTACCGTCAATATACACCCATTAAAGTCAGAATAACATCGTGTTGACGAATAACTAGTTTGAACGATTCTCCAGAACTACGTCTCTCTTCAAATACAATTACTTGACCGATGCATATTTGTGCTTGGTCCTACGTTGTATCTGGGTGACTTACTGATTCAATTCTTATTCTTCATCACCAAAACTTATCTTACTGTAAACAAACCAGATCATTTTGATTAAGGAATCTTCTTACTACTCCATTCTATATTTGAGAAACAAGTATGGTGGTACACAATGTGAATATTGAAAGTGAAAAGAATGACACATCATTTAACAAACTTTCTGGGAATCACAATGACTCCTCTCTCCATAAAATTCTACACAGTTCATGTGACACATTTTGTTACAACTCGGCACACTTTCTAGGATGGAGATACAAAACAGTAGTCATTAACAAATAGAAGCTTTAACTCAACTACATAAATAACTGACCTATGTAATACTGATGGTCAACTTTAAGTTTCTTATTAAATGATACAACAGCATTAAGTATGTTTATTTCGAATAAGAGGTTGAATTTCAAGTAATTTTTACTGTCTCAGAGACTTGTCCTTACTAGTCTGCACAAATGCACTGAACAAATGCTATTGATCAGTGAAAAATTTAAACGACATCGCTCTATATCGGTATCAGTATCACACATTCTATCATAATTTAACTTTCCATAGATTCTGAACAACAAACTATTCTAGATTTTCACTCAACCAACTTGTCTTTCAGTTTCCTACTACACTTGGTATTACTATCTTTCCTCCAACTACTTGTCACTCCTTTATTTATTCTCATTGTGTGTATGTATTCGGTAGTAATTGAATAGATATTCATTCGCACTACATTATAGGTTGTTGCTGTCCATCTTCCCACCTCAGAAAAACTCAATCAAGTTTCTAAGATATGTTTACTAAACATTTCTTAATAGCTCCCGTCCATGACAACATGCTAACAAAGGGTGTAAAGCATATATGTTGTTGCATGAAGTTTGGTCATATCACTCTCTTATCAGTAAGAGTCACAATCACAATACAACTTAACACCACAAATCAATCCTTCATCTAGACATCGCAGTAACTAACAATGTCTCTAACAAAACGTATACAGTTGCTACGAGAAATTCGTGAGAAGGCACCTAAACGATTGACGATTAACTAAGGCCTCATCCACCTGAATAAATTTGCAATATAATCAGTGTACTGATCCAATAGAACCACTAGACTGCAAAATGATAAACCTTACCTTATGAAAATCATCAAATTGAACAGATGCAACAGTGCCACGAACACGAGATGCAATAGCTTTACAAGCATCTCCAACAAAATCAGGCACTGAAAATAACTTAGCAGCATCAGCTGCACTGCATGATGGAGAGACATCGAACACCCAATTGTACGATAGTTGCAAAGATAAGCGAGCATGGTCCGCAGTTTCAACAATTACAACATCGGTACAAAAGTCTGGACCTAACAGTAAACACAGACTTTTAATCACATTCGGTTTCTTCGGTTTCCCACCACTCAGGCTCAAACGAGTAAATTGTTCATCTGGTCCTAACATGGCTAAATTCGGTCCAAACTCGACTCTTGCCCTTTTATTTTTATAGTCATAAATTTGAACTGCAGCATTGTGTGGAACACGGAAAGTAACTACACGAGTTGGGTCAAGACGGTTAACTGAATCTGGAGAAGATCGAACTCCGCGGTCAGCAAATGGGTCAATATTGCTTTCCAACAACTGAACAACCTCAGGTGGGAGTTTCTTCTCCCATAATTCTTCATCTTGATTTAACATATAAGCTTCACCAATAACAGCACGAACTTGTCCTGTTTGCATATTACGAACATAGATCCCTTCATTACAATCGAGAGGAATTACATTACGACGGTCTATCACATCCACTTCAACAGGAGGTATGTATTCGATGGGTCCACGCAACATCCACCGATCACCAGGACGACGTATCTAAAACCAGTGAGGTGTTAAATAAAATCAAAACACTAAGTATGGTAGTATTCAACTTAACAGGGTAAACATCTCTACCAAATAATAAATATTTCTTTAATAAATTAGCGCTCACTGAAGAGAGGAAACAATCATAACGAACGGGAAAATAATAAGTTGGTTGATTCGAACTGGATCAAGACGAACTCAAGAACTCCGTATGCTAAAGTTACTTGTCTCCGCATATTGCATTTCATAAACTACACTGCGAAGCCAAACAATACACTAATAATAAGGAATTTTATTGATCAAATCTCATACAACTGAAAATCTAAGTTCCATGTGACTCAATAACCAAGTACAAGTTCATATACTCAGACTTGAGTCACATTGTTTTGTGAAAAGGCTTATTATACTACTTGGCTGGTGGAATTCCAACTCAAATTCGAACAACCAAATCTTTCTACATATGGGGCACAACTCTACATAGTAACATACGCACACATTACCTTAATTATTAGCACTATGCTCTTATATGAATTGTCCTTTCTCCTAGCATCGATTGAGTCAACAAATTACGTAGGAGATATGCAACCAATTTATCAACACCAAGAACCGCAATCCAGTAAAGTGAACAGACTATAGTTTCACTGACACGCAGCACATGCAATGTCAGCATCCACTTCCTCATTAACTATTTAAACCAACAAACCACAAATTCAGATTGGTGTTTAAACTTTTCTAGACTTATGACCATTTTAAGTGAGGTAAACATTAGAAAAACTAGGCCTAGTTGACAATACAAATTAGAAACTTACACATTTCTGCTTTACAGAGTCCCCCTCAGATACAGCGTCCCCACATATATCGTCAACAAACTGTTCTTTAGCTCGAAGAATAAGGCCTTCGTTGTTCTGCAAAATATAAGCATCTTGAACTCCCGTTTCTAAATACTCTCCTGGTCTCAGAAAGAACGACTTCTCACCACGTACTAATAATTTTCTCCCTAACTGAGGAACACCGTTCTCATCCCAAGGGTTGACTACTACACAAAACTGATGGACACGTAGGATTGTAACATCAACCTCTTTCACAAACTCCTCAAGTGCGCTGCAAATGTGATACTCCGCATCTTCATGTGTAATTAACCACTCTTCACCAGTTTTGCGATATTTCCCGAACTTGTCACAATGAGACTTAACAGCTTTGACACATATCGCTCGCTGAAAATGAATAATAACGTCGATTAAATAAAATATCCAATTGTCAGACCGATATATAATTTTAGAAGCATTATAACTGTCCGTACAGTCTTGGCTTCACGTTGTCGAAAAAAGACATGCACAGACCTATATATCATTCAGTCAAACATACATAATACATTACCTATGTAACATACGGGGTTTCAACAAACAAAACACCAATTCTAATTTAAAGGCCTTCACGTCTGGTATCTTTACTTGAAAGTACGTTTGAAAGTCGGGGTCATTGTTTTCATTTAAACTTTGATAACCTTCGTCTACTTTTTGGAGGAACAACGACGAACAGTAACTGTTCTACAACGTCAAATAAAAGCCTGTGCACGATTGAATAGATGACAGACTTCGTACGACTCAAGCTTTGATTTTCAAACCACTATCTTTTCCATTCCGTTTGGTTTGCGTGAAGTCATTACAATAACCTTCTAACATGAAGCGTACGAAATCCAATACATGTAAATATTTATAGAATGTATATCTGCGAATACATTATGTCGATGGCTTTTAGATTTCTGTAATACGTTTTATAAGTTGGTTAAACAGAGGAACAGACTCATCACCGTTTTGCATCGATTTAAAAACAATAACAGTGTTTGATAACGCCTAGCAAAAGAATCCAGAATGCACATCCCTTCTCATTTTGGACTCATCAGATTTAAAACGCTCGTGAATTAGTTCCAATATAAGGCCAGTCCGATCAGGAGGCATATATGCTAGAGACTGATCTATTGCAGTCCTGAACATCAACAACGGGATGACTCAAACTCGTACAAATAGAAAAGAATAACATGATGTCATATTCATCACAAATGTCAATAATATATAATAATGATAATAAGCAAAGAATCACTCATTTCGTGGACAGTAGTTTCATAAACAAATATACAGAAGTTTACTCTTCTGACCAGTAATCACGTCTACATAGGTTTACACCGACTAATTTTAGTCTCATTACCACAACTTGGTGAAATATACAACCAGAATATGAGCAATCAGAAAATAGCTAGTTACAAAAGGTTACCTAATAATTCACGTACTCTGTCTGTTAGTGTAATCGCTTTGCGTTCGTCGACGATTTGCTCATAGACACCAGGGAGGTATGCACCTGGTGTCGTCACTAACCATCGTTCACCGTAAACACGAGAAACACCACCTCGATCGACGCAATCTTTCGTAGCCTCCATTACAAGAGCAGAGTTGACAAGAATTACTTTGGCTTGCTCGCATTTTATGATTTCAACCTCTTTTCTAGGGTAATAGGTACCTACAGAGGAAAACAAGAGAAATCCACATACAAGTTATACCAACTACATGAATAAAACAGGTTTATCTAAATATTTAAATGGCATCGGTTTGGTTTCTTTCACTTACATATGGTAAAAACATATATTAAAAAAAACACGAACTTTGATAGCAGCAATTTTAAAAGTCATATGGAAGCATGTGCAACTCCTAATTTATAGCACCTCAACTAAGTTCGATACACTGTCTTAACACGTTCAAATAAAAACAGACACAAAGGCAACTAAACGCGTACTACAAGAATTTATACAACTTCAGCAAAATTGTAAGCAGGATCTAGCTACTGTTTACAGTTATCAAGAATTCGTGATGCGATTTGTCCACCTCGGAGAATCCACTGTCAGATAATCAAAGACCGATAACTGTACCAAAGTAATACTTCCCAAGATTTAGTGTATTTTAGAAAGGTTCAGTTGGTGATTGACAGATGGTTAATCTAGTCATCACATTTATTAACCACGAGTTCCCGAATCCACGATAAATTACCAGGCAATTCAGGTTTTTTCTGGTCTACAGGAAGTGAATCTTTCCACTAGACGCATGCCACTTAACTCCGACGAGCAAAAGTGAGTAGAGTCTGGAAGAAAGCTGTACACCAGCGCTCCTGTACACAATTAAATTTATCCTGTATGTAAGATGAGTAATTAGCTCGGCATAAGACTGTACTATGACACCTTTTGATCCGAATATCTATGCGCCAATATAATGTAGTCACAGTATGTGTGGAATATACTTACTACAAAGACGAAAAGTTTAACAATTCTACATACAGAACGAACAGTTAGGGATCAAAACAATTCGAAACCCGATAACAATCAATGTGACTGAAACACTCAGTTACCCAGTCAGTAATTAAGACAAGCAGATGTTTCAAGAGTTCAAAATCGTTCGTCATACTTTCTCGTTGTGTCAAATATTCTAAACAGTCAAAACTTGCTTCTGGCAGTTTTCACATCCACGACAATGGTATTAATATCCAGGTCGAATAAACTGTTTCCAAACCAACCACTGATCAACCGGAAAATAAAGTACTTACCAGGTCCCTCAAACAACCATTCCTCTCCAGCTATTCGCTTGACGTTTCCATCTTCGAAATCCGAAACGGCTCGTAATCTGAGCGCCGAGTTTGGCAGAACAACAGGTAGAGGCCTAACGATATCCTTTATAGCTTCACCTGGATACAATGGGAAAGGGTCTTGGGCGAAACGGTACTCCTCGTCACCCATTCGAACTTTAACCTGTCCATATTTATCGACTACTGGAACACCATCTTTGTCTGTTATAACAGGGTTTCGAATCACGCAGTACATCATCGTCGGGACGACAGTTAGTTCCTCAGGTCCGAGAACAATCCTAAGAAATGATAGGTCGATAGTAAGCAAACTCACTTTTCATCCTGTTGGCAAACATATGTTTTAGGTCCAACAACAAGTGAGGTCACATGAGTATTCAAGTTCAGCACATGAATATAATGTCTCGGACTGATTGAAATAATCGGTGAGTCTGGACTAGACTTCATCTTGAACCTTTAAATATTTTAGTTAGGGGCATAATGCTAATTACTTACCACTAAATTTGTGGAGTAGTTTTCGCTGTGAAAAGGCGGAACTCTATGTTGAAGATCACGACCTATGTAGCAAGAAAATAAAAATAACAGAAAATCTGAGCACAAGAGTATTTGACTAATAGCGTAGAAACATTGAGAGCTTTAGCCAATGCTTTGACTGAATTTTACATCAACATCAGTCAGTTGTAGCTGACTGACTGACTGACTGACAGCAACACATTTCACTATGGACAATCTGTACCTAAATGTTTTACAAAACCATAATCCATTCGTCAGGAAAACTAGGTATTCCACCATGTAGTCGGAAAACAAAAAGTCTGACACCACAATTTAGACCAGAAGGGAAACTGAAATTTGGGTTAACTAGGTTCGGGTGCGTTGAAACAATATGAACAGCAACATCAACAAACCTACTTTAGTTTTTATGTATGTGGTTGTCCACTTTACTTGAGATCTAAGTAACGTTCGTCGCACAGACAACTACAGATTTTTTCAATATAGAATAGAACAGGCTACCAGATGTAAGACTAAGCTGAAAAAATTAAGATGGAGCCAAACCAACACGCGGGACCAGTTTATGAGCGATTGACAGTTTAATTAAACCACATAAATAGGTGTAGACTGTCTGTTAGGGGTCCGTTTGATTATCATAATCAATGGTTAAGCTTGGGTGGATATGGCTCAGAATCGTTTGCGGTCTCACAGGTGCATTTACTTTTTGTCTTCCTTTGGAACCTTAATCCTGAAATCTCATATGACACTTCGTTCATATACTTAATATTTTCTACCACCATTACTCAGTCAGCTACAACGTAGGACCAGGCACATATATGCCATTTATTATAGGTCAGATGATACCGCTCCATGATTGAAATCGGTAAGCTAGGCACTAAGATGTGTTTCGAATCTGAGAAATACGGGACAAATGACTTCTCATTTATATTAGGTCTGTATGCAGAACCACAACACACGCCTCTTTCAAGCACGTCTATATCGATAAATATAGTCAAGTCGGTACTCAGGAAGTTAAGCAAAATGAGTGCGATTTTAAGGAACATGGAAATACTTTAGCTTTCGTGTTCTACATATTTGCTTACAGTTCAACAGACGAAAAAATAAAGAATTAGAAAATCAGTGATGGAAATTATTAGAGCAACAGTGGGAATCGCTTAGGATTTTCAGATGATAAGTAAATCTAAATGGCATTTTTGTGTCTTATAACTCAATAAAAACAACTGCAAACACAACTTCCCTCGATTCTAGCATACATAAGTGAAAAACGTTATTATTCTCAGTATTTGCAACTAGCCTCTAAGAATAATAGAGGATCTAACCACAGACAACACACTATAGTTGTGTAGTGAGCAACTCGAGTTGCTCACTGAACGATCGATCAGTTGGTTGGAAGTGCAGTTAGAGTAAATCCCCCGATAATACCCGTGTATATTCCCAGTTCAACTAACTGCAACTGTTCAATGAAAGGTAGTGATCCAACAAATCAGTCAATAATTTCAAATCAAATATGACTCCTATCTTACCGCGTTGCTACAGCTGACACGATCAAATTACCGCGTGAATCGCACGAGGTGTTTCCAGTCAAGACCTTGACGTGCGTGCAAAAAAACAAGCGTTCAAGCAAGAAAATATGTTCAAAAATAGACTACATGTATTTTCTCTTACTATGAAGACATAATGCACCTTATATGGTGTGTTTTTCTGTCCAGAGGTAAAATAAAAATGCTTGTCATACAGAATTTCACATCGTTTCATCAACTCTTCAGTCTTCAGTAATTAGGATAGTAGGTAGGTGAATTTGTGTTAATCCTGACAGACTGCCTTCCAGTGAAGGTCCGGCTTCTCCTTGAAAATTTTTGCTGCTGAAGTTGATATAGCTTATTAGGGTAAAGCGTTTAAGTCAGTGACTACTCGATGAGAAAAACGAGACCCCACTTTAAGTTTATTGGTTCGCCTTTTGTGGCCCTTCTTGTTATAACCTTGGAGACTATTAGTGCTGGAGGTAGCAAAAAGTATGACATATTAACACCCAAGGCATAATCAAATATACGAAATGCTAGTATAAGGTCACCTCGCGTCCTACGATGCGACAAGGTGAATAGGTTTATGCATTTTAAGAGTTTATCGTAAGGAAATTAAGAAAGACCCTTCACTTATTTTATTCCCACAAGCTAAACACGCTCAACTGAGTTAGTATGCTATATGAAACATGGGCTAGCTGCTTGGATACGGTACTCTAAATGTGGTCTTAAATAAGTGTGATATAAAATTCAAAACAAATCCTCATCGAAGCAGCTGCGTTGCAATGCGTAGTTGTTTTCAAGTCATGAATGATCATTTCTTCTAAGTCCTTATGTTCTTGAATGCGTGGAACAGTTGTACCATCAACAGTATACTGGTAACTATAACCGTATCCGATGTGCATGAGAACACTCTTCCTAGAATTATCTCCTAAGCCCCGATCTGAAGCCCATCTAACTAATTTGTCTAAACCAGCTTGAAGATAAAAATGATCAGCCTCACTTCTTATTGTTCTCCAGATTTTTACATCATTTGCAAACAATAATATCCACGTTATTCATTTTCGTAGAGAAGGAAAAGTAGAGGGCTTAAGATGATGCCTTTGGGCACACTCTTTTTGGACATTGTCGATTCAGATAGTGTTCCATGAACCTTCACTCTCTGTCTGCGATCACATGAGAATTTTCCTATTCATCCCTGTATAGCATCTGTTATTCAGAAGCTCGAGGGTTTCTGCATAGGAGTTAAGTGTGAAACCTTGTCAAATGCCTTGCTAAAATCTATGAATATCACTATTGGTGAGATCCAGGAAACTCCTCGAAAAAGTCAAGAAAAGCTCTGAAAACACCGAGAAGCATATTATACAACCAGCGTTCTCTAGAAGATCTGCCAGAAACATCAAGAAAGTGAAAACTAAAATGCAGAGTTTCTAATTGGCCGATTACCATACTGCTACTATGTTTATTAGCATTCCAGAACCTCCAGGAAACCCAACGACATCCAAAATACTATGAAAAGCCCTATATTTTGTATACTAAAACGAAACTTTGGAGTAAGTGCTTCTCGCATATTTTGCGCCTTTTCTCTTGTGTTCAGGTCTCTGTGTAGTTCTAGCTTGGGGGTTACTAGAAGAGCTTAAGAACCGAATATAGAGTTCAGTCAGCAAGACTTATCGATCACGTCAACAGAGAGACAAATATCTAGGGCTGTTATATAATCCGCTCTCGCAATAAGTTAGTCAAGCGCGAACGAAACCCATGTTGCTCGTAAGTTAACAGATTGTATGAACCTAAGTGACTTAGTAACTTAACTCGAATTATCTTTTCAAATAACTTAACGACTTTGCTGTTTTGATTGACAGACAGGTAATTGGATACGATCTATCTCTGACCATCCTTAAATATAAGACTGACTAAAGCACCTTTCTGATCTCTAGGGAGTTGAGCGAGTTAAAGAAACATGTTGAAGAGCGTCGCGAGCGGTCTTCAAATAATGTCCGCAAGAAATAAAAACTGTCGTGGATGTCACCCGTCAGGGCCCGTAATCTTACAACGTTTGAGGTTAGTTATTATTAGAAGAACAGTTTCCTCATTCACATGAAAAATCCTATGGCTGGTATCTCCGTGTCGTTGGGAAAAGTATTTGTAACAATAAACGTAAAGTAGACTTCGCTAAAATAGCTTGAAAAAGTCTCAGTTTTTGCCCAAACTGATTCAGCTAGTAAGTCTGAATTTTCGTGTAACACTAACAAGGAAATATCAACACTACTTTTTGTTCGCCGTTTATGATACGAAAACAGTCGTTTCGGACAAGTACTGTTATCATGCATCAGCTGTCGTTCGTAAATAGTGCGGGATTTAGCTATGGCCTTTTTACATGCATTCCGGATTTTTTGATATTCATACATAAATTATGCATGTCCTGTTGACAAGAATAAGTCCCAAAAGTGTTTTCTACTCTTCAAATCGTGCACCATGTGTCCGAAAATTAAAGTGAAGTGCAGTGTGATCATTATTCACTAGTGGGTGAAGGTTTTGAGTGCTGATTATATCCTGACAGAGGTGTATGAGAACAAGGATCAACACTGACGGGTCATGCTCCAGGTCAGTTTTTGTCCGTTTTGAGACACATTGTACAAGTGCACACTGAGTAATTGTTCATATAAGGTCGCTATCGAACCCCCCACCTGGAGCTTGGAGCTGAATCCAGTTTATACGCTATGCGTTGAAGTCTCTAATGATGAGACAACTTTCTGCCTTATTCCATGAGCAGATGTGTCTTAAAATAACGTCGTCAACAAGACAACACGGACTACCGTATATCCCTCCTACAATCACCAACCCGTTTCCAGACTTCATTGTACAACATGCTATCTCACACGTAACACTAACATACGCCTCTGATACGATTGACTGAATATGAAAGTAATACCTAACGTGTAACGTTATCGCTGTTCCCTTGCGACTTTAAACTATCATTTCTAATACATATGTAGCCTGCAATGATGGAAGAGCAGTCTATATCTACGGTGAGCCACGTTTCTATGACAACAATTATACGGAGAGTTATTTCACTCACCATCAAGTTTAGCTCGGACGTTTATTTTGAAAGATACGGGCGTTCGTGTATAACATATTTAAAGTGTTTCGGGATCAATCGTCTTACCCAGGTAGGTCTCGGAAGCATTTGCTTCCATAACCTGACAACATGAAAAATCTTATTCATAAAGTTTGTCTAGCCATTTAGCTCTCCGGTTTTAAACTCCGTAATAGCATTCATCAACTTGATCAAATCCTCAGGTGTCAAATCTTTTTGGATACGAATAGTTGAACCACGAGTCTTGTGTGCCACATGTATTCGGAAGTTGACAACACCTTTATGATCAAAGTTGTCAATCCAGCCTTCAAGGTCAACTTCCTTACTGTCCGGCTGCATTTTCCATAAGGATAACCAATCAACATAACAAATAGCAACATTATCATGATCATTTATGTTAGCTTCATCCGAACCATTCACAAGCAGGCTTGATTGTTAGGATTTAAACGTGGCTCAACTTTTTTGTTTCCAGTAAAAAGGGTTTTGTGTATGGGACATTCAGGGTAAAGTCAATACGTCAGTAGTCCTACCAGGCATTCAAATATCTTGGATTCGGTCTTTATTACTGACCTCATGCTAAATATATTATGTATTGTAAAAACAGTTTAGAGTAGTGTTTATAATATTATCATCAGTAGTATTAGTTAAAAACCAAAAACTGTTAAAATTAAGATCACCTCACGTCGTAGAGACTGTCGCAAGGTTGAATGGATGATCTCCGCAAATAAACTGAGAAGCATTAATCAGTGCACCTTATTTGCGGAAAATGCTACCGATAAACTAACTAACGCAATCTATCACAACACTGACAATACTTCGGAAAACGTTCTAACCTACGGCTAATGAAAATGCAGAATGTCTAAAAGCCATTATCTACCGTCTGATAAACTAAAATGTCTTCAGACAGGTATTACCCAATCTCGTAGATTTGGCGAACTTTCTTTTTCAGTTATGATAACAGAAATATTTGTTAGTGCGCAGACAATATGTTCGCCTTTTGCGCTCACCCTTCTGAGTTTCCTACATTATTATAATACCTGGTCAATTTGTTGCCTTACTTTTGAATTGTTCCCTTTGACTTGTATAAATACATTCACATAAAAATCCATCCAACGAAAAGTAGTAAGTTCAAGTAATCGTCCTGTAATCTTCCCATTAAAAGTGATAAAGATGCCAACAGCTATTCGGGGTTTGACAACTCCTTTACTCGTAACACCTTTATAATTAACGTATGCCAACTCAGTTAAATCAGAAGTCAGAAATGAAGAGTTTCGACGTTATATTTGAAAGGCTATCAATATGTCGGAAAGCGTCTAATCCAAGCTGATTAACGGTTGTCCGAGATGTGTAGCACGACATACCCACTCGCAATCTGGTGGTGATGTGTGACCAAGCGCCTTCAGCTAGATGTGTCCATTAAAACTAATGAGGTCAGCACTAATTGTCGAGGACTTACGGAACTATTTATTCTGGCGATTTATTTGCTGCTACATCTCAATCACTCCCTAGTGGAGTAGTGATGACCCTAAGACGAGGCAAGCCAGAATTTTAAACCTAACAAGTTTGTTGTTGTTAAATACTCTTCTGGTAGCCTGTTATGTTCAGCAGCATTTGCCCATCATTTCTTAATATAAGGTGCCATATAGCACAATACAGCAATAAAAAAGACATAGCGAACATTTCTATTCATCGTAATCTTCGTTGGTTTTTCATCTTTTGCAGCTGTCCTGGAAAATAAACAAATTGTAAGTGCATGTCAAAATACACTCGTACATGCGTGAGGACACAAAACGGACAAACAAGAAAACAAACTGGTAAACATGTGTTTTGTTAATAAGCAATAACGTAAGAACAATTTTCGCACAATGATCATTTTGGAAGAAATCCTGTGTACTGTGTCACAAGGTAGGTTGAACGGAAACACCAGTTGATTGCGGTCGAGTGGAATCAGGTTTAGCTGAACGCATCGCGTTTGTATGCCTGCTCGTGTTAACGTTCGAATTGATACTCATTGAAGAAGATGAAGGGTTCACAAACCCTCCTAGAAGTCGCAGTGTCCTTCCGTAAACGAATTGTGCTGCAGTGTATCCAGTGTCAGATTCCACTGCACAGTAAATACCAACTAACACAAATGAAAAGGCGTTGGTCCACTGTGAAACGTTTGCGGCTGGGAATAACGCTTTTAGCTGTCGGTGAAACCGTTTTACCAACCCGTTTGCTTGTGGGTGATCGGGGATCGTTCGGATTCGCGTGATTCCTAGTAGTGCCGTCAGACGACAGAAGAGTTCGAATTCGAACTGGCGTCCACGGTCTGTAGTGGTAGTTGGAGGGCCGTCAGAGTTCGTCACACAATGTTCGACAATCGCAAGGACCACTCTTTTAGCAGTGACGTTCTTGATTGGCACTGCTCTTGGCCATCGTATGAGACAGTCCATATGCTTCAAGAGGTATCCATTTGAATATGGTTAGTCCTATCAAATCCAGATTAACATGCAGGAAACAAGCGTCCGTAGTTATGAAAGAGCTTAAGGGACATTTGTTGTATCTAATCACACAGGAGTGTGCACATTGACGTCTTTATTCCTACCATGACAGCAAAATCGTTCTGCCACGATCTTGATGATTGCACGTACACCTGGATTAGAAAGCCTGTGCAACGTATCAAAGACGTGTGTCATTAACGTTTCGGCACAATCGGACGACCTCAATCTGTAGATGTATTGCATTGTAAGGTTTCCTTACTCGTTTTCATCTGTTTACTACACGGTTTCAAGGTCGTCGAAGATAACTCGTGCCGAAGATTAGTGCATTCTTTTTTAAGCTGGGACAGTTTAAGAGAGTTTATTTGTTGAAAATTTTCCAAGGACGTTATACGATACAAAGCGTCTGCAACCACATAGTTTGCCTCAGAAATGTATTCTATTATAGGACTCTTGAGACGTTGCTTGTACAATCCCAGTCGGCAGCGCATTTCAGCACTTGACTACCTTTGAGGTCTAGAATTTGTGCCTACAGTTCGTTCTGCTGAGTTGTGTCTCCAGTTTATAGGCATTAGCTCTTGTTTCTGTGTTGGTTTGAAGTTTATTAAGTGTTTAAAGTGATGTTCAGAAGTGTTCAATATGCTGGCAGTCATTAGAATATAACATCTAGGACTCTTGTGACCTAGTGGGTTAAGGTTTGTTGGCTTGTGGCGCTCTTCATAAGGCTTGACTTTGAGCCCACGAACTGACTTCGTGGCTTGCCGATGAATACACCACAGTGTTCTTATCCTTATTGCTAATTCCTTTGTCGTTTGTTCAACTTTGAAGTCGAGTCAGATCCTACTTAAGTCTCAGTTTATCCTCGCAATTACGTACTTCTCTCCAGGGTTTCACGTCATCAGAGAAGACTTACAAATCTGAAGATACCTGCTATGGAAGTTCGTTCATATAAATCAAGGAAATAAGCTGCCTATTACTGAACCCCGGAGACGCCACTAGCACAGATCACATCCCGAGAAGAAGCAAAGTTGACAATGACATCGAAACGTCGATTTTTTAGATATGAAGTGGGCTAGTCAATTAAAGGTGATTTAATGCATAAACGTTTGAGCTCATTGATAAGACATAGATGGTTGACCCTATAAAAAGCTTATGAGAAACCAAGGTAAATGACGTCAACCTTACACTTGCAATCAAGGATCGTTGGCTATCTGTCCACCGCAGTCAGAAAGTTGGTTATACAAGAATGACCCTTCCTGAAACCGTGCTGTTGGGATGAATAGAAATCTATGGATAATAAATAGTCATTTATACCAAGGACTACATAATTTATGATGGTATGAAGAAAAGTGCTACTGGTCGGTAGCTTGAAGGTTTGCTGCGTCGACCTCCTCTGAAAATTGGTGTGACGTGAGCCAGTTTCTGAATATCCGGTAATGTACCTCGGCATAGCGAGTGTGAAAACAACACGATAAGCAGTGTTGCATTGCCACTGGATTGTCGTTGTTGTTCCTTTGTCATTCATTGGTATAGACTTGCTTAAACATCATAATTTACTCATCGACGAAGTTTATTCAACGAAAATAATAACTTTTCTGTTTGTGTAACTTCGTTTTATGGTTGTAGGTAATCACTAATCACAGTAACGCACAAGATCGATCCGTACTACCAACAAGTCCTCGTGATATACCAAACGTAAAAGAAATTGTCATATGTAACCTGCAACGTTACATATCACTGTTGTGGACGGTATATCCCCAAAATTCATATTTGTAATTTTATCATACCGATTAGCTTATCGATTAACTGTTTAAATATTTGAACGGAATTCAATTGATGAACTTATCGATTAAATAATTAAATGACAGTCAGTTGACGAACTTATCGATTAAATATTTAAATGCCTGTCGATTGATGAACTTAATGAGTAGTGTTTAAAAACATTTTACTATGACAATATTGATTGAATATATTTGTATATATACGTTTTAAATTGTGTTTGAGTGCTCGCTCGTTTTCTGGCTGTTTTGCAGAATATATTTTCCATACCAAGCTTGAGCTTCTCCTTCTAGATAGCAGGTCTGGAACGCATCAATAGCTAGATTGCTGGTCTTTGGTTACTGAGTCACGGATTAAATGAACTCGTGAAGCTTCAAACCTAACAATTTGGCGACGATGGTTCCCGAAACATGGATCCTTCCAAACCTGAACTATTACTCGATCAGCAGATGAAATGTATTCAGATGTTAGCAGATGCAAAGCTCATGTCTAATTCTTTAACAAGCAGTTCTAATCCTACTACTACTGCAACGTCAGTTGATGGTACCGCTAACAGTATCTCCAAGTCTCATGACGATCCGGAATCCAATGTCACGTTTGATATATGGTTTCGGTGTTACAAAGACTTATTCAAACTTGACTTTGCCAACCAGGATGATTGGAAGGTTCACTTGCTGCTTCGAAAGTTGGGTCCTAGTGAACTAGACAGGTATTGCAACCTAATTCTGCCTCTAAGCCCACGCGATTGCTCATTTTTGAACACTGTCCAGTCATTGAGCCAACAATTAGGAGACAACTCCTCACTATTCACCGCACACTATCAATGTTTGAAGCTCATTATGAACGAAGGTGATGATTTTCTTACACATGTGGGTATCGTTAAACGAGAATGTGAACGCTTCCGGTTGAAGTCACTTACTGAAGATCAATTTAAAGCACTCATTCTCATTTGCAGCCTTCAATCGCAGAAGGTCCGTGACATCAGAACACGTTTGCTAAGTCGATTGGATCAAGACCCACAACTAAACCTTAATGATATTGCAACGAATATCAATGCCTAACCACTTTACAGTGTGACACTATGATGATCCAGCGTGGTGGTTCAGATCGCACCGAAGTTCATGTAGTTCAACAACTACGCAACACGCGTAAAAATGCCACAGCGAAATTCAGTTCAAGCCAACATTACCTTATATCTTCTATTCATAAAAAATATATTGTTCCTTCTCTAGCCTAACCTTGTTCTACATCACGTATTGGTAGTTGATACGATACAGTGAGTTGTTGTAGTCGATGGTGTGACTTCCACGTTTCAAAAAGGGCAGTGATTTTGATACTTGTTGTGATTATACTTGCTTTGGGTACTTATTCCACTAAAAAGCATCCTTGGCCTAATTTAACTAAAAGTATTTTGGTTAAAGTTTGAAATGTTTTGCTAAATTTTGTCCTGAGTACCTTTTTTTACTCCTTGATTAACACTTGTGTTCACATTGTGATCAGTTTGTGTTTTCAAACCTTTTAAATCGAATTACAATGGTTGGTAAGACTCATAAATGTGGTCAACCAAATTGTTTGTTCCCCGTAGAGGAGGGAATGTAGTGTGACGATTGTAAAAAGTGGTACCACAAAATGTGTACACGCCTAAGTTCGACGGCATACAAAAATGCTCGAATCCTAACTCGCATTGGCTTTGTATGTTCTGTTGTATGGATAAAAAGGTACTAATTCTGGAGGCTATGGGCCTATTGGCTTTGGCCTGCAAGAAAAACGATGGCGTTTGTCACCGTTCCACATAGTCCAAATGTGACTGTCCTGAGTGGTGACAAATGGAATTCAGTAGGGAGAAAAAGAAACGGGAGGAAAAATGCTGTTGGCAAAACGCAGCTGGTCAGCAAGGCATTGGAAGGGATGTTATCAGAAGATAAATCCTCACTGACAAGACAGATCTCTCTGAGAGATCAGTCACTTTTCATAAGATAAGAGAATTTTCAGATACAGAACACGACCTCAATCATATTAAGACATCATTAAATAAAGTACTCCCAGATACAGTTTCAGGAGTTAGTATTTGTAAGCTTTATAGAATAGGAAAAAAGGTGGATTCCGAAAGTCCTCCGGATAACCGCCTCCTAAAGGTTACATTCAACACGGTGAAAGAAAGGAACCCGATTCTAAGTAATTCATGTAAACTGATTGGATCCGGAATTTATGTCTGTGAGGATCTCAGCCTAGCTGATCGTATTAAGAGACGAGCTGCAGAAGCGAAAATAAATGGGCGTCGCCAAAAGAAACCTCGTTGTTAAGGGTTTTAAAATTGTAAAAGTTCGGAGCAAAACGATCCCCACGCCACTCTGAGTGGCAAGGGAAAGCTCTCTACAGACTTAAAGGTATGCCACACAAATGCTCGATGCCTACTAAATAAAATGGCGGAGCTCAATTCAGTGGTGAATAAAGAAAAACCGGACGTTATTGCTGTCTCAGAAACTTGGTTAAAGTCAGAAGCATTAGATAGTGAAATCCAGTTGACTGGTTTCATAACCTGTGGAGCTGATAGATTAAATCGAAGAGGAGGCGGGGTTATTCTGTACATTAAAAGTACCCGTAACCATAAGATTAGCTGAGACAGTGGCACATAATAATAATAATATATTTCTGCATGTGCAGGTTCAACCGAATTAAAGAAGGTAGTGAAACTGAAATGATAGAGGAAGATCACGAACAAGCAGGGGCTATGGCGGACTATTTTGTGGCAGTTTTCACTCAGGAACCTCCTCTAGAGAAAGAATCAGACCCAAATACAGAGTCAACAAACCACCTGCTCACCGTGGACTTCGATTAAGACGATGTTTTTAAGGCTCTTAGCACCCTAAACATGGAGGAGTCAACAGGACCAGATGAACTATACCCCACAATATTGAGACATATTGCACGATATATCGCGGCCCCACTGACTGTGATGTTCAATATGTCACTTTACCAATGTGTGTTACCTATGGAATGGAAGGACACAATCGTCACTCCCATACATAAAACAGGTCCACGACAAGTTCCATCGAATTACAGGTCCGTAAGTCTCACCAGTGTTGTAATTAAAATATTGGAAAGAATAATCAAACGGACCATAACGGCATCAATGGAAACTAATAACTTGCTGAACATGGAACAACATGGTTTTAGGAAGGGTCTATCCTGTTCGACGAATCTCCTTATAGCAAAGGAGTTCTGGATAAATGCTCTAGACAACGGAAACTCAGTGGATGTTGTCTACATAGATTTCAGTAAGGCTTTTGACAAGGTGCCAACTAATAGACTGCTATCGAAGTTAGAAAACTTTGGTTTTAACGGACCTCTTTTAAAATGGATTAAGGATTTCCTAGTAGGTCGTAGGCAGAAAGTAAGAATAAATTCCAAGTGCTCCATCTGGAGACCAGTACTTGGTGGGGTACCTCAAGGTTCAGTCCTAGGTCATTTACTTTTTATAATGTACGTTAATGATCTTACAAGTATAGTACAGTCTCCAATGTTATTATAGACTGACGATGTAGAAATCTGGCGAGTAATAACTGGAGACAAAGACTCATTTACTCTTCGGGCGGACTTAAATAATATGATAAACTAGTCTAAAGAGTGGTTGATGCCTATCAACGCGGCAAAGTGTGTCTACATGCACTTTGGGGATTCAAAGGTTAATAGGTACAACATAGGGGAAGTACCATTACCCATATTCCGGTCTCATAAATATCTAGGGGTGACAGCGAGTCATGATCTTAAGACGACGGCCCATTGCCGGGAGGTCGCAGCTAAGGGGTTTCAAACCCTCTGGGCTTTAAAATGGACATTCACTAAGTAAGATACTACCATGTTCAACAATGTATAAACATCATTAGTGAGAACTAAGCTTGGGAACTGCGTTCAGGCTGCAAGCCCCTGTTTAAAAGGTGACTCGGATATCCCAGAAAAAATACAGAGAACAGATGCCTGTGCAATTCCAGAACTCAGGGGTTTACCATACAAAGAGCGGCCTGACATAGACTTGCTTTAAACATCAAGCTCCAGAAAATATGACCTGTAAATAACTTATCTGGATCTAATTCTTGGTGTTCCTTCACCTCATCATGTTTTAAGTTATTCACTATTCAGTAATATCTTTTCTTCCGACCACTGCTTGCCTAAGTTAATATTTCCGAGTTCCATTGCCAAACAACGAGGATGGCACTTCTCCAAAAACAAACGGTGAGTTTCAGCTATAAGTTTTCTGCAATCATAAAGTCATTTTAGATGGCTCACTCAATGGCAAACAATTATCTGGATTCATTCAGTTGTTTTGATTCGAGCGAGTGGCAAAAACTTCAACAGCAACAAGGAGCCTGGAATTAATTGCCATACTGCATTTTTTATTCTGGAGACTTTTGGATCATTACTACTCACGAATGGCGTTATATTTGTCGATCACTGAATAATCTAATTTTCAAAAATAACCCAGGCGAGTTCAACTATTTTACTTAATGATTTTTCTGCTTAACATGTATAAGTTTTCCAGTTGCTTTCGCCATATATTTGTATGTGTCCCTAGGTTAAATGCAGTAACTTCTTATGGAATGTTTACAACGCGTCATATTCCTGCCTGAAGTTTCACAAGCAGTCTTAAATTTAAAATTATTTATCTGATCATGTTCATTGTTTTTAAATTGTCATATACGTCAACAACCTGCATGTTAACCTGGCCCGTACATACGTTACACTATATCTTCATGTCTTCTAAATTTAGAAATCATCTGAATCGCCTTTGACATTTATCGATAAACCCATTAGTCGTTGTTGCTAATCGTATTTCAGTTTACGGATTGATTTATCATATTAACAGCCTAAAATACGGACATAGTTTAGATAATAAAACTACAAATTTAGGCACTAACAACTGCACTAGTAAAATAACTAAGTCCTCAGGTAGTTGTTGACTGAACAAACGTTTAAAATTAAAACTCCGTAGCCTACAAGAATTAACACTAAACGAATATTTCTTAATTGAAATTTTTAATTAAATAAGGCGTCTCGGGTCCTTTAACGTTATAAATTTTTGATAATTCTGAATCACCTGAAGCAACAATACCTTTATTTCACTGGCTAATCCTCAATCAACACTATAACTAGTTAGACGTAATAGTTTCAGGATATCGTCATAAAGCATTGTCATGACTTGACAATCACGTAATATGGTTGATAAAATTGATGAAACTATTGACAAAATCGGTCAGCAAATTGACATATAATTATCACTAGTGTTGTTTTTCTTTTATCTTCACTTACTACAGATGATTACAGTATGTTTCTCTATCAGATGCTCACTCAGTAAATATCTCGAAACCTGGTCAGTCTAATTGATGGTTTAGCGACACAATCATGCATCCAAATAATTAGTATAAGTAGTTGAGCGAATCTCCTGCAAACTGAAAACATCAATGTCAAATTTACCCCAACACTGACTGAAGTTCAAGCCATTATCAAAGACATGAGTTAGGAGTGTACTATCCTTGTTTACAACTTATGTTCTCCCTGATAATCACATGAGCATTACTCACTGTTAATCAACTTGTAAAAACGTATTTGGCCAAATAGATCTTGCAGCACCACATCACCTAGTAATATGACACATAGGCTTAACTGATTTCAATAACTTATAACCAGTATATCCCAAATAAATCGTATTCCGCCTTATGATAAACTGCATACTTGCAACTAACTTGTATGCCCAATCAGCCGGCAAGTATAAATATAAATAAACAGTCTGCCGCAGATCAGACATTGAGTCTATAGCATGTCTCTTACGAATACACTCATGCCTAACGATTTGTTCCTAGCTATCTGTCCAAAATTCATATAATTATCACTCACGTATTTAAATTTTGCTTTGATAACCATTCATGTGTATTAGTAGTGTTACTAAATTCTATCACGGTCAAGCAAAAATGAGGTTGAGAAAACCTCCTAGTAACTAAATAAACCGTATCAAACTAACTGGAACACTAGTTGGCATTCTTATCCACGGCAATACATTTGTTCCTTCAGTTAGCCTGCTAGTACAGATGCAATTGGAAATCAAATCATATGGACAGCTTACTAGCGTGAAGATTATTTGATTTCATAATTGAACCCAAAACTAATACCAATATTAACATTTCTACAATATTCATTAATTTAATATTTCTAAACGCAAAATACTTACTACGTATACGTTTGTTCAAGCGATAGCCC